TTAATTGAAACCAACAAATCTGGTAGTGGCCTTTCTCCAAATTCTGGTGCACGACCATATAATGAGTTACTATTTTTGGCCAAAAAAGTCAAAACAATTGCTTCAAATCTTGACTCTTTTTTTATTTTACAAAAAAATTTCCTTTAATGAAAGTAAAAGATAATAGCATGATGGACCGTGAATTAAGTATTATTATAATAAAGTTACTTTATAATCCAAAATCAAATCTAGACAATAATAAGTACTAATCAATTAGTAAATATTTGAAATATTACAGTAGATTCATATCTTAATATATACCGAATGGAAGAATTTAGGAGAAAGGTAATCTTTTAAAAAAGGAACCAATAGTAGAGAAAATGTAAAAGATTAGTATGTTTTATGAATTAAAATATTAAGATTGATCATAAAAATTTAGATATTGTAGTGAATTAATATCATTGAAAGATATACTAAATATATTTGAATAATTTTATAAATAATTATGACATTTAAAATAACATAACACCTTGATTTAATATTTTTTTAATAAAGAGAAAAAGAAAAATTAAAATATTTTAATATTATAAAAATATTAAAATATCTAATTATAATCATTAAACATGTGAGTATAGTGTAAACTTAATTTTATTAAATTTATTATATAACTATTATTAGACATAATGATATTTTCAATAATAAAATGTCCTATTTTTTCCTTTTCCTATCAATAAAATAATGAAAAAAATAAAGAAAATGTAGCGCGTGATTCCAAACGCAGCCATGCAGGAAGAAGCAGGGATTTCATATCCACGGCCAGTGGTAACTGGTAAGTACAAAATTACGCTCATGAAATGTGTCGCTTCCAGTCTTTAAACAGAAACATACAGAAACAGAAAGCCAAAAGCACAGTGAGCGCTCCTTCCTTCCTTCCTTCCTTCTCTCCTCTTGACTTTTCTTTGCTGTTACTCATTCTCGCAACTTTAGGCACTGATTTAGGACCCAAAACAGCGTGACATACCAGTATAGCACCACGCCAGTCTCTCACCGTAATCACAGCAGTCAGACTCAAAGACGGGTATGTATGCCTTGTCTTCCCCGTTTCTTTCTTTTCAATTTCCCTTTCATTGATGGTTTTGATTAAAAACTACCCCTTTCAAGTAATTCTCATGCTGTTTTTGATTTAGAGAAAGTGGGTTTTTCTTTAAAGTCTTGTATAAATACTTTGTTATCAAAATCAAAATCAAAATTCAGTGGCTAAGTTTTAGGTAGCACACAGTCGGTTTATGGATGGGGTTTTGCAGAAGGTGAGATTGCTGTGTTTGTAACAATCTTTTATGATTTTACCAAGTATCTGATCGAAATTTGCTTTCTTTTTCATACTACTAGATTTTACAGCACTTGGTAATGCCAATATTTTGGTGTGGATAAAATGCAACCGACAGAATAAATGAAATTTTCCTCTGATTTATTAACTACATCTAGTAGGTCTGAATGATGGGAAGATGTGGAGAAATTAAATTCAATCTTTATGTTTTTGTTTTGATTTAAGGCAGAGTTGGGTGATTGGAATTTTTCTGTTGGGTAATATTACATAATGTAAGATTTAAGGTTCAAGAATTAGAACGGAGCTGAGAATCAGACCATCATTGCTATGTACCCATCCTCTATGGATGGATAATCAACTAAGAATTATCCTGCAATCAACTTTAGACCATCATTGCTATATGATTACTCAAAATTTGAGTAAACAGAATGAAGAGTTTATTAGTTTTTTTTTAATCTTTCATGCATATCTAGTTGCTTGATTATGAAGTGTTCATTGATAATAAGTTTGAGGTAATCAAACAATTATTTTTTGTTTCTTTTCTTCCAAAATCATGACATGAGGAATATACCTTGATGTTCTCTTTCAGCCCTTGTTGTTTGTCATATGTTTGCAATTAAGGAAGTAAGTCAGAAAGGGAAGCCATAGAACTTCTTGATTGTAGTGTGATGGCAGAAAGGAAATTGAATTTCAATGCACCCCTTATATCTGTGAGGCGGTTTTCTGCAACAACATCATTTTCTAAGGGTGAGAAGGGGAATAAAACTGCAAGTTCTGTTCTGGATAGACGATATTCTCTCCCTAATTGTAAGTCAGATGTGAGTTTGGATCAGGTGACAGAACCTGTTACAGTCCCTTTCATGTGGGAGCATATCCCGGGGAAAGCCAAGGATGGTGTGGAGCCTGCGTCTAAGCATTCTGAGGGGGTTTCTGTTACTCCTAGAATACCTCCAGGCAGGGCCCTGGATGTCATAAAGTATCCACTGGAGAAGGAATTTGAAAATCAAAATTTGGTTAGTTACCCTATTGAATCATGTTCTTCCAATGATAATGTGGCTAAATTAGAAGCTTCAAAAGAGGCAACAGATAAAAAATGGGGCTTTGAAACAGATAACGATGATGATGTTTATTCAGATGCTCTTGATACACTGTCTGCAACAGATTCATTATCCTTGAATTGCAGTATAAGTGGTCTAAGTGAATCAGGTGATCCAGTTGTGGAGCCATCAGGGACCTTCTCCACTGATCCACAAACTCGTGATTTCATGATGAGTCGTTTCTTGCCTGCTGCCAAGGCAATGGCTTTGAAGCCTTCCCACTATGCTTCAAAGAAGCAACCTCCACCAGTTGAACAACCAAGAGAGGCTATGCAGGTGGTTTCTGTGGATAGGAAGACTCCTGTGAATCTGTATGAATCAATTACCATACCACATTATGACCAGGGACTAGAGGAAGAAGAAACTGAATCTGAAGATTATGACTATAATTCTTCTGGCAGTGTGTCACGAAAAGGTTGTGGGTTGTTTCCTCGGTTGTGCTTTAAGAACTCTTTGTGCCTCTTAAATCCAGTTCCTGGATTTAAAGTTAGGACGCATTCTTCCATGTCTTCCTTATCTCAGGTTGGAAAAGCAAGCAAGGCTGCTTACATGGAGTCTCACAGCCAAACTGTCAAGAAGGTTACCATAAAACACTTCTTTTTACTCTAATTTCTATTCAGTTCTCTTGCTAAAAGTTCTAAACATTCTAATTTGTTGCTAAAATTCTCATTTTTTTTCCATTAATTTGTTCAGCATGCTTGGGATGCTGCTTACAAGAAAAAATTAGATAGTGGAGCTCAATCCCCTAAGCTATCAATGATTGGGAATAAGCTGACTTCTGTCTCAAGTCTTACCAACTCAAGTCACAAGCATAAAAAATTAGATAGTGGTGCTCCATCCCCCCAGCGATCAATGATTGGGAATAAGCTGGCTTCTGCATCAAGTCTTACCAAGTCAAGTCACAAGCATCAAAAATTAGATAGTGGCGCTTCATCCCCCAAGCGATCAATGATTGGGAATAAGCTGACTTCTGGATCAAGTCTTACCAACCCAAGTCACCAGCAGCAAAAATCAGAGAGTGGAGCTCAATGTCCCAAGCTCCCCAAGACTGGGGGAAGTAAGGTGACTTCTGCATCAAGTCAGTTTACTAACTCAACTGATCAGCAGATATCAAGGAGTTCATCCCCCTACACGGGTCGCATTTCTCCCTACCGCAGGGAGAGACCACCATCTCCCTTTCGTGGAGGGGGGTTTCTTGGTATCCCTAAAGGAGTTGAGAATTTCAAAGCTAATATGATGAATAAGCATGACAGGATCAGTAATGAGCAACAGGAATTGTCATCTCACCAAAGTTTCAAACAAGGGTCAGAATCTGCAAGCCCTGCAGTTGAGAAGACATTGTATGTGGATACTGAGAACTTTGTTGAGCTACCATCCTTTCGTTCAAATTCCTCTGGTATCAGGGGCCAAATGGAATACACCGGCAAGTCTTCTGAGGCTTCGTTAGGAAGCAGAGTTCTGGAAGAAACTGCAACTTCAGTATCCTCATTGGAAGATATAAAATGCTTGACTATTTCTGAGGAAATTAAAATATCAAAACATAACCGTGGACCTACAGATAACAGGCGTTCATCTTTTTCTGACATGCCAAATTTTGGACGTCAGGTGAAAATGATTAGATGCTTTAACCAGGATGGAGGACTTGATCAAGAATCTAAGTCCTTGGAGTGTATAAAAGTTGGCATGTATGAGAACCTCAATTTTAGCAGTGACAATGGTTTAAAAGCAGATGATCAAGGAGTATGTACCCCACCTTTACCAAAAACACCTTCCGAGTCTTGGCTTGGGCGTACCTTGCCTTCAGTTGGCTTGCAAAATCCATTTAAGCGGACTTATACTGGCACTCAGTTTCATCCAAAAAAGGAGGAACCCAAAGCTGCTTCTACTAATGACAAGTGGGAAACAATTGTTAAGACTTCTCACTTGCATCATGATCATGTACGCTACTCTGAGGTAATATTCTAATTCTTCAACATAGTCATTTCAATAATTGGAGATTTGGAGTTTCAGTTGTTATAGAAAAGGACTAATTGCTTTACTGCCCCATCACAGGAATTAGTCACTCATGTTTATCAGCAACCCAGAACTTAGAAATGCGGAGAACCGACGCCCTTAAACTCTATTGGTTCAGTATGGTGGTAAATTCTGGTTAAAGATCTTATATCCTATCTTTTCTTTTCTGCTGAGCTTGTCCTCGCATTTTTGTGTCTGCTTGTATTAGGCAAGTGGATTCCGGTGTGCTTTGATTCTTGCTGTTGCAGAGCTTGCATTTTCTTTTGATCAGTGTTGGCTGAGGCAATGATCATTAAAGATCAAGTCAAATTGAAAGTACTGTATTTTGAACTTCAATTCGATCAAATTCCTTGTGGCGTTCGTTTGTCTTGCCCAGGAATAAAACATTCTATTCTTATGTACATAATTACTCTCCCTTCAAGAATACTACTTCATTGTGAATTGTCAGATGATAAGCTTTGCATAAAGTTTAGAACTTTAGATATATATTATATGTTTGGTTGATCCGCCCTATGAATAGTTGCTTCAGTATAACTGCCTAAATGGAGTTGATTGGCAGAGATGATGCATGTCATAACTTGTCTCTTTTTCCACGCCAATACTGTTGAGTGTTGGCTTATATGCTTGTCACTGTTTGTTTTGCTTTGTGATCACGATCACATTGCTGGTATAAAGGGTATCATGAGCTGGGAAATGGCCTCAGTTTGCAAATGTTGCAGGCTGATTCCGCCATGAGTGAGTTCAGAGTTCAGACCGTCTTTCTGCATTATTTTTGACGCCTGAAGATATACTATTCCTTTTATTTGCCGGCACAATGTTGTTGTATTGTAACCGTAACATATAAGTATACCACATGAAAATCCTTATGACTGCTGGCTTTTCCAAAACTAGAGGTTTCTTTTATGGGAATTGAAAGGTCCTTTCTCAACCATAAGTGAATGAAAGAGATGAAAACCTTTTCTGCTTTGGGCTTATTTGAGTCGCTTGACTCGAATTTAGTGCCCTTCAAAACTAAGACAGCTTGTTTACATGAAATTCTCAGCACTTATTCTTGAGCATATATACATATATTTTTTGTCCTTCTTCCTTGAATATGAGAAGTGGGGAAAACAACCAAATGCATGAGCTATAGTTACTTGGACTGAGATAATGAGAATTCCCAGAGGTCCAGTTGTTGATGAGAATTGAGATGTCCCGCTTTGTGTCTGACCCAGGTGTATCCATTTTAACTCTTTTTGGACCATCATGTCCATTTAACTGAAACCGGTGTATTCAGTACAATCTATATTTCTCAGTAATTAAATAAATATTTGATATTATCCACACCTTATCACCCGGATCCGTGGCGCAATGGTAGCGCGTCTGACTCCAGATCAGAAGGTTGCGTGTTCGATTCACGTCGGGTTCAAAACCGCGATCCTAAACGGTCCCCACCTTTTTGGTTGCTCCTTTTTTTTTTTTTTTTCTCCTGCCATATTGAATGCAATTTTGAATTTTCTTTACAGTAAATAAAATAAACGGAAAAATAGGAAAGTAGAAAAGAAGAAGAATGGATATATAGGTCTGCCTATGTATTGCCTCTTCTTATTGTCACTACAAAATCACATTCGAGGATTAACAATGGTGAAAAATTATATCAATATCAAATCATCCTTTGATCTAATTAAGAAAGTGAAAGCTTAGTGCTAATAATTTCATTTGTGCCTTTATAATTTGTACTCTTTTCATCATCAACTCTTTGGCACAGTCTTAGTTGTAGGTCAGGCAACCATTCCTTCCTTTTCTGCACTCAAAAATAACACACACACACACACACACAAAAGCCATCAAAGTAAGAATATATTAATGAATTTACAAGTACTTAATTCAATTGCCATATATTTCATAATCAAAAGGTTACCTCCAACCGAAAGGGGGTCTCAAACTCTTGTTGGAAGCTACTGAATTTGCTCAATGACGACTCGTTCGTGTTGGAGAGGAATTGCCTCACCATTCTGTTGTTTCCAAGGTTCATTTCATTTGAGCTTGGAAAAATTCTAGTTTGGAAGTTCTCCTTGGTCATCATGTTCCCATTGAATTGCCGTCGGTTATTAACCATTTCCAATGGTGGCCACCTCTTCTCCTCGAGAAACCGGGCAGGTCTCATGGGGCCAATTCGCATTGCTGTTTCCATTGCATGGATTTGGTTCGACTGACCTTGAATGTTGGAGAAGGCATTATTGTCCCTTAGAAAGCCAGCTTTATTGAAATCTAGTGATCTGTAGGGGAAGGAAGATTGGAAAGGAGTTTGAGTGAAGGTAGATTCTCTAGTTAGAACAATTCCACCACTCTCCATTTTGAAGTGTTGATGTGGACTTAAAGAAATCTGCCGGTGCAATATGCTTCTAATATCATCTCTTCCCTGTAGTGATCTATAATTTAGGCCTAATACTGCACACAACAAATCATCAAGGGTTAATCTCGGAAATGGTTGTGGCTACCTTTTTTTTTTTTTTTAAACAGTTGGTTATTATGGTATTTAAAAATATTAATGTATAATGAACAACTTAAATAATTCAGTAGTCATTTTTTCCATTGGAAATAAGAAATATTGAATTTAAGTCGTATGACATGCATATGAAGTGGGATAAGAGATTGAAAATTGTTGTTTTTTATTGTACAATCAAAATAAAAAATATATATTAATGTATAAACTGATTTAAATCTATGAAATAATAAATATTAATTATTTTGTTATTTATTAACTAATAATTATAGTTATTAATTGTTTTTAACTATACAATTAAGTAGAATTAGTATTTTAAAATAAAATATTTAAAAGTTTGAATGGTTCCCACAATTTGTTGTGTAGTCATAGCCATTTTCATTAATCTCTACATATGAGTGTAAAAATTTTAGTTAGTCTTTTCAAGTAAACTTATAGTATATTTAGGTTAAAAAGAATGGAGAGAAGGGAATCTCCCTCTTCCCTTTTCTCCTTTTTATTTAGCTAAGTAAATAAATTAAAAGAAAAAATAAAGTAAAATAAATTTTTTTCTCCCCTCTACTCTAATTCTTTTGATAACTAAAAAGAGAAAAATTTCTCCTCCCCTCCCCTTAACCCAAACATAATGTTAATTTTTAATTTGAGATGCCCACTTTTATCCTTTTTTTTTATGGAATTATTCACTTTTACTTTTAAAATATCATTTAATATATTATTCGTATTTTACCTTTAATTATTTTTAAAAAATAAAAAAGGTTTATTTAAATAGTCATTAATTAAGAACAAATATAAATTTTTATCAATTAATTAAAAACTAGGTCTACTAAAATTAAATAAATAGAGCAAATTAGAAAAGAAAAAGTATATTTATTGTTTCTTTAAGAACACATTTAAGGGAGAAAAAAAATTTCTTCAATACTTTTAAATTTTTACTGGTGCTTTTTTGATTTCTGTTTTTCACAAGCTTCTTATGCTCCATTTTTGAGGATAAAAAAAAAATTTAATTATTAATAATTAATATCCCGCATAAATTTGGTTCTTTCTTATAATTACTATTTTCTTCTTGTAAAATCTCACTATATGTATACTGTGTTGTAAAGAATCACAGCTAGCAAAAGTGAAATCCTCACCTTGTCCTGCCTCATCAAGCTTCTTACTTCTGTACATCTGATGAGTTCATAATGCAGGATAATTATAAATTAGAATAAATGATATATAGATAATTATAATTTAAATAATCAATAAAACTAATTGGAAAAGTGTTTTTCAGGTCTAACTTGCATAATAAGTGCAGGAAAGCCATGAAATTATTTAAATAGCTTTAATAAAATTTTGTTATGCTGATTTGTTAAAAATATTTAATTAATTTTATAGATATTTCTGCAATTGTATCTTACAAGTAGGCTTAAAAATTCGCTACCCACGGAAAATAAATATACATGTATATATCAAAGAATAATCCACCAACTAATAAAATTTGATACCAAATATTGAATATATATGTATATATACCTGCAAGTGACTCTTTACATGTGCAATGCTGAGTCCCCTCACATTCATCAACTGAAGAACTAACTTTGGAGTTGCTTCTGCAACAACAAATCAACCAAAGAAATTATTAATTAACACACATTTTCTTTTCTTAAATAATTACCAATATATAGAATAATCAATTTCTTAAATAATATTGCAGTTTACTCTCTTGGCCACCAAGTCTTTCAACAGCATGAACAAAAGAGAGATGGAGGTCAGGAGTCCACCGGAGACGAGGCAATTTCGACCTCACATACTGCCTAACCGCCCTTCTGTCCTTTCTTCCATCACTGCTGCTAACATTATTATTATTGCTGGAACTCCCTTCTTCCGTTCTCTTCTCGTCGTCTTCATTGACCTTGGAAATGCTATGATAATCCTCTTCATCATTACTGTAATTGGCTTCTTCATTCAAGTCAAATGATGAACACTTGTGGGATGTTGAGGATGCAGACATCGCTTCACTACTCCCTCCATTTTTTTCTTCATCATGGATCTCTAATTTGCCTTCTGTCATTGCCTTCATAATCTCTCTATATAATTCGATCGTTTTCCTGTGAAAGAAATATTGGAGAGTTATATATATACATTAGAACACATCTTTATACACCCACACCAAATAATTTTTGCTTGTTTCACTTGCATCATACCATGTTTGATGTGGTTTAAAACATCATTTCAACTGGACCTGAAATTTTGATGATCTTATTGATGTCAAAGGCATCGTTTTAGGTGAGGGGATTAATGCAGAATGTGCAATGAGCATTTGTTAGGATCATATTTATTGGTGAACCCTGTGACAGAAATTAAACTTATATCATTCATCTACCTATATATTTTAATACAAATAAATGAATGTGGTGTTTTTATGTTCCTTGAATTTCATTTAAAACTGTACAAATTTAGATGAAATGCAACAAACAATAGATAGATCATAGAGAAAAAAATGGACAAAAAAAAAAAAAAACTCCAAATTAATACCAAATTGCTAATAGAATGAAATGAAAGGAGATCTGTACTTCTTTCATATATACTTACTTGCTATTGCTGCCAAACCCTCAATTATTTATTTTGTTATCTCTGTAGTGCATTCACTGAATCCCTGCAAATACAGTGTAGATAAAAACAAAGTTTATGTTGACTATACATTATATTAGTTAATGTCATGAACTTCAGAGAAGATATACTGGTTAATCAAATGGAGGATGTCAGAGATGAGTAATGAACTTCAACGTGAACCCTAAGGAAATCCAGCAACATTTAAGCTGTTTTTTCCCTGTTTAATCATGTGATCTTTTCTATATATATATATTTGATTGGCCGAACAAAACCATGTGATATTTCCATATATAGTTAGCTTTGAATTTATATAAGCAACAATGATCAAATATTTCCGGCAGTACAAAATAAGGATACAGGAGGAATCCAATGAATATCAGCTTTGAGACAAAGGAAAATCAGTTCAAGAAAAAACATCAAGATCTACATCCTTCAAAACATGACTAAATTAATTCTGGGGTATTTCTTTTGTAAAATTTAGGACCTGAGATTGACCAGAAGTAAGATGATTTTGCCTTCTTT